AGTACACTGCGCGCTCATCCTCTTCGTGTGTGCATTCTCGCGTCATCTTCTGTTTTCCGTTTAATAATCAGTAGCCCCTTTCCAGCACGCGTTGTTTCGTAAACATACAGATATCGTGGAAAGAATCCGTTAACTTTTCTTAATCGTAATATTCGAAGTGCCGTTATACGATTAATTGAGTTTCACGCGAACTGTCAAAGAATTTAATTCGCCAGAAGAAGTCGTGCTGTATCAGCCGAGATCCGTACCTATTCTCATCCGGTCGTGTACACTATAGTAAAACGAGGTGCTGTCACGTGCTCTTGCACCCGTGAAATCGGCACCGATTTACGATACTTCGTGGACCATGAGTCGTGTTAGAAGACTTTAACGTTGTTTACAGCATAACGTAACTCGTGTTTACGGCTACTCGGTACGTACAACCGGTTAAGCACGTGGTGGACAGGATGCTCCTAAAATTGGCAGTGTTGCTGTTCGTTTTCGTGCGGCCAGGTGCAAGTTATTTCAACCTTTTTCTCAGCCAAGCAGAAGTGCGGAAACTAATGGGTAAGCAAAAGTGTTCGATTCGTTTACGCTTGTATTCACGCTTCTATTATGAACGCTGTGCTTTTTCGAATATATTTTGTCGATCTATATACTTTGTGAATTCGCCATTCGTTATGAAAAATTCGTTTGATAAAAATATTTGAATATCCATATATATATTTTATTTATCGTTTTTATAGCGTTAATAGACATAGAAATTTTATCATTACTGATCGAAAAATAATATTCAGAAATGCATCATTGCTTCGAACAATTTACATTACGATCTTGCATTATTTTATATCTATTTATATATTTTATATAATATATTATATAATTTAAAACATTTACATATTTTAATCGAAACAACCCGATAAATCTATTAAAATACAGACCATAGTTGAACATCTAACTACCGATCAAAACCATTAAGACAGTGATTAGTGATCAGCGTAATAATTGAGCATTGGACAGTGAAGAATCATTGGCTAGTACTATCGACATTTCACGCTGCTAATGAATAATTATCATCACGTTACATTTCTTATATGGCAAACTTATTACCTTCATTAATGATTAAAATTCTATGCAATAATACACTAATAATCATCGGGCGAGTCGATATATTTAATAGAGCATTAAAATATTATGGATCAAATAGAGATAATTTATAATATGGTAAGACTGTCATAAATCCTTCTGGCATGGTTAATTTAATTTATCAGCATTGCTGATATAAAAGCTCAAGGATATGAAAATGTTGCGCATAAAATTAACTCGTTGGATCTGCTTCGTTACGCATCTTGCTCTTTCAACGAGTAACTTTTTTCTTCAGAAATTATTGGGGAGCAAAGATTATCTGTTAAAATCTTATTTATTCAAAATAAGACAAGTTTTTCAAATAACGATATAAGGATCGTTCCACGATCACGATCACGATCATTACATACTATCGTAGTAAATTTTTTGAACATTTGTATATACAAAATACGAAAAAAATCTTTTCATTCTTGCAAGCATCATTTATTCTCCAATAAATATACGATCGAACGAATACACGAATGCTCACGGATTCATGGTTCAACGACCCATTAAAATCTCACGGACGACGTGGTTGATTTCAGGCGCAAATCTTAGCGACGATACTCGATCGTTTGTTCCATTCTCACGCTCCCGATTTTCATTCTTCCCCTCCCCCTATCACGCGTATACCCGTTCCAAGATTTTTCTATTTTTCTTTTTCCCCTCTTCGTTCGTAGATTGCCGTTAGATCGCTCCCGCTTCTCCTCGCCACAGAGAGGAGAATCGTCGTACCGGAAACGGGTAAAAGCCACTCGACGCCACCAACTTTCCAATATTTCCACGATAACTTGCACGGCGGCGGATAATTCGCTCTCGGCTCGTTGATCCGCGAAAAGCGTGGAGCCCGGTCGCTCGCATCGCGAGAGGGACGCAAAGGGGGATACGCGTTTTCGACGACACCTGAACCCGTGCGAATTGCCGATTCCGCGCGACGAGAGAGGCTCGCTCGCGCGTGGAATTGCGCGTTTTCAGCCACCACGCGTTTTACGCCTCGTTCCACGACCACGCGTTTCACACACGCATCCGTGAAAACGTCCTCCTCTTCCTCCTCCTCTTCTTCCTCCTCTCCCTCCTCCTCGGTTAACTGGAACTGGAGTGTGCGCTCGCGCGTGCACACGTCAAAAGCTTCGCGTGAAATCGAATTGTGTTACAGCGGCGCGGCTTTCGAGCGAACGGAAGGGATCGGAATCGCGCGATTCGTTGTTTAGAGGCGGCGTTATTAATTGCGCCTATAAATTCGAAGCGTATTAGCGGCGCGCTCGTTGAAATGAAAGGGGGATTGAATCGGTACGTAGAGCCGAGTCGACTACCATCGTTTATAGCCCTTTATTTGTTTTAGTCGTGTTTAATTCTGGATCGGTTAAAACAAAGAGCTTGTGCCAGAGCTTGGCGTCGTATATATACGTCGTGTATAGAGATTGTAAAACTCTCCTTTATTTTCTCGACAGTACCACTGTTTCATCGCTGTTCCACGATAACCGTGGTAGATCGGGATCGGTGAGAGAAAAAAAGGGAAAAAGAAAAATATCGTAGCCAAAACGAGATTCCTGCGAAGGATAAGAGTGGCGGCCACGTATACCTAGGCGCACGAGACGCAATAAAATATTATAACGAGGTCCTTGTTACAGCACATGGGGTGGCGATCCAACAACACACAGGCCCGGCCTACTAGTTTGTTTAGACACCGAATAATCGACAGTCGCTTCTTTTCGTCTTGTTTTCGTGCGAGTCGTCCGGTTCTATCGTTTCTCTCTCTTCTTTTTTCCTCCGTCCCCCCTTTTCTCATTTTAACCCGATGCGAGCACGGCGAGCGGACCTGGCCAGATAGAGAGGCCCCCTCGATACCGATTTCGGCGGGGGCCCCTCGGCTCGCTCTCCATATGGGCTCCATGGGTTTTTCGAGTCGTGCGTTCACGCTTCCTGGAAGAAGGTTTCCAATTTCGGTATTTACTATAAGGTTTCCCGTATTCCCTTACTATATACGAGCTGGTTGACGAGCGGCAAGAAATCGATTCCATCCGATCGGGGGCCCCGTGTTCCACTCTGTTGCCTCGTCCCCGTGGCACATAATGGGGAAAGGTGTGCCGATGAAGATATTGACCGGTGATTAATTATGGTTATCTTGTACCTTCCCAAAGTAGTTCTCGTTAAGCCTTGTTGGCGAACCAAACCAAAAAGAAATACACAGGCATGCGTATAAGGAGATGATCCTCGTAAGATGAAATATTTTTATCAACGTATTTTATACGTGAAAAAAATCGTAGGTATACCTGAATAAGGGAGAAGAACCTTTTATCGCCGTTGATATTTTCTTTCTTTCCTTTCCTTTTTTTTTTCTTTTCGTTTAAAAGCAGGACTAAGGTAGCACACGACTCGAAAAATCTTCGAGTTATCTTCAGGTGTTACGGTCCTACGTGCTCGCTACCACTTTGGTATCGTGTAGCATCCGCCTCGGATAAGATAACTGAATTCCACCGGTGCCGCGTTACATTCCTAATACCTCCTGTTTCTCACTCATCGACGGAACAAGTAAATTACATATATATATATATAATAAGACCCATTATACGAGATACATATAATTAATCAGAGTTTCCTCACCAAGTGGCGATAATTTATCTCGTTTGTTTGCCCCTCGATACAAAGCAAGTCTCTTTATACAACTTATATCCTTCGTACATTCTTTCGAGACTAATTATTTTATTATCCTCGTCCTCGATAACAAACGATATCATCGATGGTTCGCGAGAAAGGGAAGAAGATCGTATCTGAATGGGACGTAATTAACAAAATCGAAATTCCATTGGTAACTTTCCGTCCCTCGAAATTTGCATTCGCTGGGAGGAGAGGGAAAGGTCGTTGTCGACGACGATCCGTCAGAGGGCCGTGTCAAAACACGGGATAGTTGCGCGCCCGAGGCGTGCTATGGCAGCGCGCCCGTACCCGACCTCAGCTAGTTAGGGCCTGACAGGCCCATCTCGACGTTAGCCGGGGAGTGGGGCGGCCTCAAAGCGCCCGCCTCGGCTCCGTGAAAACGTTTATGCACGCACGCAGTGGCGTAGGTAGCTCTCCTCTCCACGAAACCTTCCTCTCTCTCTCTCTGTCTCTCTCTCTCTCGTCCACCATCCTTCGAGGAATCCTCCTTCCTCTAAGGAATTTATTTCGGGGAAATGTATTCTCGATCGAGTTCGAAGCTTGGATTCGATCGTGGATTAAAAAAATCGTGGATTCGAGAGAGGCGGATGCCGCACCTTTGCCCGCATCAATCCTCCACTCCTCGTTAAGATCCTCGCCTTAAAGTCCTCCTCGCTTGTGTGCGCGCTCCTTTCGTCTCGGCCAGGGATGCGTTTACACGCCAGAGTCGATTTTTCATCGCGTTTTCTCTTTCGGGCAGGGAGAAAATTCAATATTCCATCGACGAGTGCAAAGTTTGCTCGATTCTTCTCGCTTTTCGAGTGGCAGGAATGCGCAGAGAGAAAAATTGTCAATGGACGCGTTGCGATCTGAAGGTGTGTTCAAAAAAAAAATTTTCCTCGAAAAGGGGTATTTGTGAACACGTTTTGGAGTAACATTGGAGAGTATAATAATATATATAATATATAATTGTACTACGATGCTAGTACGTTTCCAGAGAAAGATTATATGAATCGATGTATTAATAAATCGAATTGTTCGTCGTATTATAGTCACGTATATCAGTGATATTTTATATATTATATTTATATTTTATATAGAGAGTTGTAATAACAAATAGAAAGGGTTAAAACGAATCTTCGATTCGCTTTCTTTCGTTGATAGATGCGAATTTTTTTTTTTTAAAAACGCGTCAAGCACATGTCGCGTCGCGTCGCGTCTTCGAAGAAAATTTTTTGAAAATTACAGGGGGCGAGAGATTTTTGGCGTTCGCGTGATTCCACGAATTCGACCAATTATTCGCGCGTCCTTTCTTTGTGAAAGAAAAGAAAGAAAAGAAAAAGAAAAAGGAATCGTTCCCTTTGTAAGGGAATCGATACACACACACAGAGAGAGAAGAGATGAGAAGTCACGAAACGGTAAATTATCCGCATAAAATTCCCAAAAGGGGGAATATTTTTCAGCGTCCCCCCCTACCGATTTTTTTTCCACTAGTAGTTCGTTCTAGGTAGCGGCGTAAAAGGTTAAGGACGGGTACCATTTAGGGGGCCCATTTGTCAGGGCAGCATTTTGCGTTTCCCTCTCCTCTTCCTCAAGAGCGAAAGTTCGGTCGCCGAGTCACCTTGCAACGTTTGTACGCAAGAAGAAAGAATGTTCTCTCTCTCTCTCTCTCTCTC